TGCTTGACAATGGTTCGTACTCTTGGTTGTGTGACAGCTGCCGCACACCACACTCCGAGCTTGACCATCATTCCTCGCGTGAGCACGCTCGGCAATGCTTTGTAGTACCCCATACTCTTGGTTCTGTGACAGCTGGTTGTGTGACAGCTGCAGCACACCCCGATCTTTGGCCGTCATTCCACAGGTGATCATGCTAGACAATGGTTTGTGCTGTCGGTTGAAGTGACAGCTAGTTTGACCGTCATGTCACACGTGATGCTGTCGGTTGGAGTGACAGCTAGCTTGACCATCATGTCACACGTGACGATGCTCGACAGTCGTTACCGCTTTTTTGTCGTTGTGTAGTGAACAGTCTGATCTTTCTCAGTAAGTTTATCTCCCTTTTTTTTTCAATATATATCTGGCCCCCCGCTTGATTAATTCAGAAAACCCTTCTTCTTCTTCTTCTTCCTCCTCCTCTTCCTCCTCCTCTTTTTGAGGTTGTTATCTCCATCCCCTCCTCCGAGTCCCCCCCGCCAATCCTGTATGAACACCGAGTTCTGGGGCTGCGGAACTTCGAATTGCTGGACGTCACCATCAGGTTGTACGATGGTCGGCTGCGTGCCGTCGCCTCCATCCCCACCACCCTCCGCTGACCCCGTGTTTGATGTCTCCACCGCCTTGATCTCTCCCGCGTGGATGCGCTCTTTCACCCAGGCAGCCAGAGTAAGGTCCTCCGCCCGGTAATCCGGTCCAAAGGGGCGGCGGGTGGGGTCCACTTCTTGAACACCCAAAGATTGCCTTATCAGGGTGCGAGAGGATCGGAGAAGCCCCTTGGCGGACATCCCCCAAATCAAAGGCATCCCGAGGAAGTACACAAGCAAGCCGACGAAAGTCAGCACAAGCAGGCTGATGATCTGGCAGTTGCTGCAGTTCGACTTGGCGTAAAGGGAATAGATCCATGAGGACGATGCTGGCTTTCCCATCGGCTTTGAAGCGGGTACTGATTACACCATGATGATGTTGAGTACTGAGATAATGACGATGATAGTGAGCACGAGGAGGAGGAGGAGGAGGAGTAGGGGGAGGAGCTTGAAGTTTGAAAGGGAGGGAGATGATCACTAGTCTTGCCCCAAAATTATAGCTGTAATTTGAGGAGGAAGACGGCGAGGAGGAGGAGGAGGAGGAGGAGGAGGAGGAGGAGGAGGAGGAAGAAGAGGAGGAGGCGGAGGAGCTTGAAGTTTGAAGGGGAGGGAGATGATGAGTATTCTTGTCCCGAAGAGAATGTAAGGTCATTATAGCTGTAGTCTGGGGCTCTGCATCAGGGATAATGACCGTACGTTGTATTCGGGGGAAGAGGCGTAGTTAGAACAATGAATGAGTCAGAAAGCACAGTGCCTGCGCGCTACCGGTAGGACGTTAATGCCAACCGGAACAGCTACCGGTAGCTACCGGAAGCATGCAACTGGCAGTGCGTAATAATGTCAACCGCCATCGTCGAATGGAAGGCCTCTTCCTGCGCTCCTTCCCATCCACACCTACTACCAGTAGTTGGCACAACCGTGAGGTGCAGCCAATGTGGAGACAGCGAACACACGGGAACACCCAGGACGTTTTCGACTGCTCTCTGGTCGTAATTTAGACCAGAAACATCCAGGACGGCCCGTGATTGAAATCATATCATATCAAGCCACGGCGGGCAGTAGCTGTAAACAAGACCCCTCCAGATAAGTCCTATGTACGGACTGTTTTTTGCTCTGAATGCCTTGTCTGTGCTAATTTAGGATGACGTCACACAGCGCACGCTTATCATGCGTATCTACAAGGTATCTTTCCTGTCTGACTCATCAGTCCTGATGAACGTGCGTTGTTGCGTTCGGGTGAAGATGAAGACGGTCGCCGACCCCGGACACAGACCTGACCCTTAAATTGAAATTGATGTGAGGGCCAAGTACCGGTGCCAGGCCCGGCTGCGTCGTCCCCCAAATAGACCGTACGGTACGGTAATCACCGTAGACGGGTGGTTGTGCAAAGTGGTTCGTGCCGTACACTTGCACTTTCCTAGCTTTCCTAGATAGAACGTAGCCCCAGTGCGATAAGACGTTCAGGGTCAAATCTGTGTTTGGGAGTCCTACGGCTGTTGGGCAAGGGAATACTGTTACGGTCACTGACTGACCCTGAGGGCAGGGGTGCGCAGCCGGTAGATTATGCTGTATTTATGTTTTGTCATGTTCGCTATACACAACTCCAAGAGTGTGTATGCGTGCGTGTGTGTCCGTGTGTGTGCGGGTGTCTGTGTGTGTGTGAGAGTGAGTGTGTATGTGTGTGTGTGTGTGTGTGTGTTTGTTTGTTTGTTTGTTTGTTTGTTTGTGTGTGTGTGTGTGTGTGTGTGTGTGTGTGTGTGTGTGTGTGTGTGTGTGTGTGAGAGAGAGAGAGAGAGAGAGAGAGAGAGCCCTGCAGCACGCAGCATGTCAGTGACCCCTGCAGCACACAGCGTGTCAGTGACCGGGAGCATAAGGGAAGGTGCTAACTCGAAAAACAAAATGAAGGTAATGTTCCAGAAACAACAAACAGCAATATCTGTGTTACAAGATGTATCAATGGGACGCTGAACCCGGTTTCCAGCAGGTGCCGCTCCCCACCAATAGATGGAGCACCCCGACAGATAAGCCCTCAATCGGTTTCCAGCAGGTGCCGCTCCCCACCAATAGATGGAGCACCCCGACAGATAAGCCCTCAATTCTGACGGTTCTCATATCGCAAGGGCTATTTTCCCCAAAAAAAAAAAGAAAAAAAGAATACATGAGTTGTTTCTTTTCGAAATTTGGGATCTGTTTTTGGCAGGTTCTGGGTAGGCAGCCCTGGAGGGAGATCCCACTAGCCAGGTATGTGGATTAGTGTGACGGGTGGGGGACGGGTGGGGGACAGGTGGGTGGCAGCGTGAAATAGGGAAAATAAACGTAAAAAAACAAGGGCAAGAGTAACTCCATACACCATTTGCTGTAGGTGAGGGGATAGAACCCTCCCAAACACCTTCCAAAAAATAAGGGGGCACATGCATGTCAAAGGAAGAGGACAAAAGCATTGCCCATGTGAAACATTTGCGGGGACTACAGACAACTTGGACGAGGGTCTGACACGGACTGACATTCCCTCATGATGGGAAACACCGAAAAATTTTGTTTTCGGCCTCTCTTCCACGCATGGGCCACAACCCAAAGGTGAGTGAAAGGTGAGTGAAAAGCAACACAAAAAAAATGGGTCTGATTT